GCTGTGGCTGTGCAGTCCTTATGCACCAGTTCCCAGACAGGCTTGAGTGTGTACCAGCATTTCCCCAAAGTCCCAGGAGCCTTTGGCTCTGTGCTGCTTGTCTGCTTTGGTACAGAAGGAGCTGAACAATGAATCCTGAAGTACAACTGTGCTAGAATTCAGGGACAAAGGGATTTTGGGGGGTTGCTGTGCTGTTAGCATGAAGGGACACTGGCCAATCAGAGCTTCTGCAGAAGAGCTTCCTGGAAGGCTCTACATTATGGTCATCAGCTGGCCCTGTCTATTTTCCACCTTTATTGTTTGTCGTCTTTTTTTAAAGGGAATTTATGATTTGCCAAGTTCATTTCTTTAGAACAAACAGGTGTAAATCCAGCTGTAAATGATGGCTCATTTCACATGTTGTTCTGCATGGGGCAAGATTGCTATAGCCAATAACCGCATAGCCAAGGTCTGCTGTAAATTCCCTTGCCACACAGATTTATGTCAGCTGTGAAAATGCAGCACTGGGTGAATATGCCTGAAAAATTTAGTGTTGAAGAGACAGGTCTTAAAGGGAAATTAACAACTTTCCCCACATCAGCTGTCTGGTGAACTCGGTGAATTTGCTGACCCACTGCCTCTTTGTGTCCCAAGTATAGGGTTGTTCCTGATGATGAAGTCAGGAGAAGGGTGTGAGACCTATACTGCTCTTGGCCCTTACCCATTTGTTGTGGTGCCTGGGAGAAGGCGGGGGAAAAGTTGCAGAATCCTGCTAACAGAGAATGTGGCAAACAGGTCCCTTCAGGGTTTTCTATGGAGCTGTCTTTCATTCCCCTCTCAGCAGTTCTGAGAGATCACTGTAAATTTTCCATGCTGGCAGATGTCAGAACAGGAGCAAGGCACATCTGTCTCTCATCACACTGACTTTACCCAGAGACAGGTTCAAGCAAACAAGGTGGGATAATTTTTTTTTGTTCTGCTCATTTTTACAGGTGTTTGCAAAAATTCAAACAGGCAACTGAATCACAAATATTTCAAAATTCAAGACCTGGGGCTTTACTAGGGGAAGGAAGGCTGTACTGGAAAAATGCGTGAGCACAACCTTCCCGCATGCTTTAAAACTGTCTGCCTTTACAAGTGGCAAATGATAAAAAAAAAACCCACCCAGAACTCTAAAGAATTGTGCAATGTTCCTAGCTTAGAGTGAGCGCAACGTCTTGCCCCATTGCACCACTGAGTTCCGTAGCCAAGAGCCCAGCTATTGCTCCGAGAACCTGTGTTGATATGTCTCAGATTCTAAGTTTTAGATGAGACTTTGTCATCTGTCACCTTTTATGATCCATGCAAAAATGCAAGCTGGTTAGAAAATTGCTTGATTACGTGATGTAAAAACAAAACAAAGCAAAAACCCCAATCCCCATCCCTGAAACCAAAATTCTACCTGCAAACAAATTTACTTCCAAATAATGCCTGAATCATTTATTTAGCTTAACCCTGACATTGGCTTGGATGTCACCAGCTGAAGGCCATATACATTCATTAGCTGTGACCTTGGACCCTGGTCCCACTTGAGGAACCCCCTTATAGATGGGGGTGAATCAGCAAATCAAACCCCAGTGCAATGGGTCCAAGACATGGATCTTGCTCTCCTCTGGCACCTCTCCTACTCTGTTCCCTGCGGTGAAAGACATGCCCTGTAGATGGCTACTGCCTGATGCCAGGGTGTGGAGTCAGGCCAGCAGCCCAAGTAGCTCTCAGAGGAACCAGCCCTCTGCAAGAGGGGAAGGGAAATTTCCCCTGTAGGTGTTAATGTAGCAAAGAGGGGAACCTAGTGAAAATGAGAGCGTGAAGAAGCAGATTCTTCTTTTGCTCATATTTCAAATGCTAGGCTGTCTGTCCTGTGGCCAACAAGTTTAGTGAAAATGTAGTGCAGAGAATGAAAGCTGGGTTAATAAGAACTGAACTGCCTGCCATTTTGTTTTCTCTAACAGCCATTAAAAGCTTCTCTGTTTTTAGGTCTCTCAAGGCAGCTAAAATAATGGTTGGGTAAGTTTGTTATTGACTCGAGCTTTACTGTTTGAAAATGCACAGGGTCCTTGAAACCCTTCGTTGAAAGGTGAATAGCGCCTATAGACTTAGATTCCTAAAACCCAAGCAAACAGCGCTCCCTCACCCACCGAAAACTGCAGTGTTCCCCTGAAAAATCCATGTAGATACCGGTATTAACAATTAATTAACATTTTGTTCTCCTTTAAGATCTCCAGATTTCAGGGCTTTTTTTCAAAGCAGCAGCTGTAAGGTAGCTCTCTGGGGAGGAACAGCAAGTGTGAAACAGCATCTGCCAATATGGCAAGAGTGAGGCAAGAAGTGAAGTGTCTGCTTAAAAAGGTGAATGAGAAGAGTGTAATTACCAAAGCAGAACTTAATTAGGATAGCAGGATCAGTTCTTTACTGCAAGCTTGCAAGAAAATCATTAGGGACTTCTTTTTTGTATCTTGTGCAAAAAGGAGCACTTAATAGCATAGTGCTACTTAAAACCACTTTGGGATTTGTCTCTGCAATGGTTCACAAAGAGGTAGGATCCCTGCTTTAACTGTGCCACTCCTGGTGACACCATGAGGTATTGTAGCACATGCCACGTGCATTCTGCCTCCAAGAAAAGCTTTGCTTGGCTTATCAAAGTGGTAAGACTGTAGGCTTGCAGACCAATCCAGGCAACAGTTTATAAATGAAGACAAGACCCCAAATCAACAGCAGGCAGCATAGGAAAAACTAAAATACATATGACAGTCAAGTATTGGGAAATCAGTTCTTTTTCCAGTCTTTCTGGCAAGACCTGATTTCCGAGATGTTACAAGAGCCCCCGAGAGCAGATGGTGTTTCATTGAGCAGCAATTCTCTCTTGTAAGAGCAACTTGGAATCTTGTCCATAGAGCCCAACAGGTAATGTAAAGATTTAACACCAGCTTATCCTTAAAGTGGGAATGGATATGTGGACTCTTGAAACTTCTCGCCATTATCCTTACTTCTGCAAAGCTTCAGGTCGCAAAACCTTTTCACTGTTTACATGTGATTTTAAATTTTGAGGGCCCTGATGGGAAATGTTTAACACAGCTCCTTGTACAGCAGTCAACTTGACTTACAAATGTGAAATGAGAGCTTTTTTTTTTGAATTTCAAGTCCTCCCAAGTAAGTTGGAAAGAAAGAATAAAATGACTCAGAAACTGGCAGAAATTTACTTTATTTTGCAAAATGCAGCAACCTCTGCCCTTCCCCCTCGATCCCCCCTTTTTCTTTTTTTTCTTATAGCCTCAGAAGAGTGAGCAGAAATAAATGTTTCTCTTTCAGATAACGCATTGCTGCTGCAAGCCCTTGCCCACCAAGCGCGTTTCCTCAGCGGCCAAGCTCTGCTGATTGTCGCAGGACATCTCTCAGGTATTGTCTGCTTCAGCTCATCTCCACTTCTAAGTCAAGAAGTCTTCAGGGGGCGTCTTTAGAGGGAATGCCTCTGAATAGACAGTGCAGTAGCTCCTCAAACACCAGAAGGGCCTGAGCGTGTCCCTCCTGCAAAACGCACCCTAGTATTTGGCAGGGGTTTGCCTTGCTGCTGCGGAGGCGTGTGGCATATGAGATGAGGACAGTGCTCAGGCTCCAGCACTGAGGTCTTACTGGGGCATCTCAGGACCTGTCTCCAGGAAAGAGAAGGGCTAAAAATACCCTGGCTGGCTCCTCTCTTTGAAGGACAGTACAGTAAAGGTCTTGGAGGTCTGTAAGAGGTCCCTTTTCTAACGCAAACCACCATCCTTTAGAACAAATGGTGGCAACTGGTATTTCTGAGGATCAGTTTCTTTTGCCATCATGGCATTCTGGTTTTCCTGTTGGAAGCTTTGGAGGCTGAATCCTGCAGAGCCTCGTGGTCACAGTGTAGAGGAAGCCTCAGCACACATATTACCAGCGAGGGTTTTGTACAAGGCAGGATCTGGGGATACGACCTTGGACTGACCATTTCAGGATGTGCAGACAGTCTATTTCTGTACCAGTGGTGTCCGACACACTACAAATGCAGCTGATAATTGATTTATAATAGTAGCTTGCTATGGCAGCAATCGCCAAGGAATTGAAAAAATTATAATCTCGATATATAGTAGAGAAGACTATTTCTAGCCTCGCTTTAATTAGGGCTAAATCCACTGCTAATTATGCCAGCATCTTTTAATCCAAGGTTTAGTACACTTTGCTTCCTCGTTATGAATCTCAAAAAAGCATGTTTAGCCACAGCAAATGTAAAAGAGCCTTTAAAGATAATTTGAATGAAGTACATCTCCAGAAACATGGAAGGTAATTTTACAGTTATTTTAATCTTTTTCTCAAATAAAGCATTTGAACATAAATTGGGACTACTTTAGAGAGAGCAGATGTTCTCTCTGGGATTTAGTGGGAAGAGAGAGCTCTTTCTCTTCTGAAGCTCTGCAGTGACCGCTGTCTTTAATAGCATTGAAACTCAAATTAACTCCCATTTTGAAATAGGTACTGTAACCTTTTTCCAGCTTACTGGAATTGTTTTTAGGTACTTTCAGGAGCTGTTTAAATGTTGATGACTGATGCTGGCTTAACAGCATAGAGAAAATGAAGGTCCTTTCACTACAGAATAATGAATGGTTACTGCATAACACTTCCACTGAACAGAAAATAAGAACTCTGTCTCCAGACCATTTCAGATTTTGGTCTCTCAGCAAAGCTTGCCATGCGAGGAGCCTATTGGTAGTAAATTTTTGTTTGTATTTAATACAGTTCAGTTCAGAAAATGAGCTGAGAGCATACTTCAGAGAGAATGAGAGAGGACGCTTGCTTTTGGTTAAATTTAGCCCCCTGTGTAAGATTTCTTTCTCTCTCTCCCCCTGTTTCAGGGAACATTGTGAGGGTAAATGCCATTGAACTTGTGACATGTTCAAATGCCATGGCAATGGGGTCTGGGTAATTATCTAAGTCACCCACCCTGAAGTTTGAAACAGCTGTTCATTAGAAACCACCAAGTATGAGGGGAAAAAAAGCTCAAATTAGACCATTCTGCCAAAGACATCAGTTAACCACTGATGTTCCTAATGAAACTGTCAAGCAGCGCACATCTTTTGTGGGTTGAGGTTTTGGAGTGTGGTATAAATACTGCCATTTGCTGTGTGCCACTGAGCAAAGGGAACTGCCAGATTAGACTTTTGGCAATTTTCATCAAAGGTCACAAAAAAGTAATCCTCCTTTTTATTAGGAATCTTTCAATTACCTCTCGAAGCTGCATTTCAAGACCTTCAGCAGCTTTAGACAGCAATTTAGATAACTTCTTAGTGGAAATAAACAGCGATTTGACATTTTTGTCATTTGTAATGCAGAAGTGGATAGTGAAATGGTGTATGATACACTCTGAGAAGTCTATCATGGGTACAAAGCCTCCGATTTGGAGAAATTAAGGTCCTCAGAGGTTGGTTGGTCTCTCCAGTGGATGATTAGCCACTGTTGCCTGTTTCTTGGGATCATTGGGCTCTTTGTGCTTGCTGATAGGAGCCAGAAAAGGCTTCCAAGAACCAAAAATAAAGGCGGGTACTTGTCTGCATTCAGGTTGCTAAGACGCTTGTCTCTCTCACTTGGCAGTGCTTGTAGGATCTGTTTATCCCCGGAAACCCCAAGCTGTCAAGCGCTATGTCCTGCCCACGCTCTGGTTCTTCCTGGGAAACAGGGTCCTGCCTGTCCGAAGCGGCAACGTCAGACCTGTGGTTGCCAAGCTTGCAAACAGCATCTACCACGTGATGGGCTCCAGGCTGAAGGAGCATGCCGCCAGCCAGCCTCAGCATGTGGTGAAAAACCTCTGGGACGTTTTGGACCTGACTGACAGGTGAAGGCTTGGAAAGGCTGTGCCTTTTCTCACGCTCCAGGAAGCTGATGGAGAAGAACTGGATGGTGGAGGCAACGGTGGATGTTAGGGACTGAGACAAAAGAAGGGTTAAGTGTGGTAGAACTAATAGGGAGGAATAAGCAGCTGCAGCACTGTTCTGGCAGACAATGAAGTTGTATGAAGCTACTCCCTAGATAAGGAGGTGCTGCTCACAGGGAAGAGAGATTCCCTTCTCGGTGGGACGGTGATCTTTTAGAGTACACGATGGTGTAAAGAAGTAAAGTAGAACATTACCGGCCTTCATAGAAAAGTATATAAAGAACACGCTTGCTTAATAAAGCTGATTTCGATCCTGCGTATCGGAGTCCGTGCCTTAACCCTCACAGGTTGACATGGCGGTGGCACTGGTTTTATTCTGAGTGTTTGAAGAATGGGATTTACACTACAGAGTTTATAGTTACAGATGCCCATAATATATTTTGATGTTGGCTTTCAAAAAATAATTAAAAATAAAGTATTTTTCAAAAGTTTTATATCTTGAGCTTATCTTCACTAAGAAGCTTGCATAGATACCAAAACAGTAAAACCCGTGCGTAAATGCAATTTGTAACTGTAAAAAGGAAAATAATATATTTATATCCATACTTAGAAAGTAAAAGATGTGCATATATATATATATATTTACTTACAAATTAAGAGATGGGCTTTGGAAGCATTTGGGCTGTAGGATTAGATGGCTTGATTCAGAAAGCAGAGAATGAGAGACCAGGACCTGCTCACCCAGAGGGTATGCGGTGGGGTTATCAGAGGATGTGCAGCTCACTGTATGTGCCACTGTAGGCCATAGGTGCCAAGCTACCAGGTGGCCCCTTTAGAAGTCTCTGGTGGCTGCTGGTGTGATGGCAGATACCTGAGATGTCCAGGTCAAGCTCAGACCCCCAGTCCCATGACTGCAGAAATCTCCCCAGCTGTCCTGAAATTTTCTTCCTGTTTCAGGGGATGCATCTTGTCTCCAGTCCCCTGTGCTCCCCTGTGCAACGGACGGACGTGGCGAGGTGACCGGTGCCATCCGACTGCCTCCCAGCACCTTGGGGCACCCCTGGGGAGGTGTAGGAGAGGCGTTGGGGGCAGGGGGCTGTGCCACCTCGCAGGGGGTGCTGGGTGACGCGTGGGGTGCTGGGCAGTGAGTGGGCTGAGGATATCCTACGGAAGCCGGGGACAGATAAGCTGTGGGCAGGCACTGTGGGACACGGTACAATTTCTTTCGATATCTATCTATATTTTCTAAATGTATTTTTTGCGTATGTGTTGCTGTCTTTTTATAATGGAATGGTTTGCCCTACATGCGGGCCAATAAAGCACTTTTGAACCTGAGATTCAGGAAACAGAGTGAGGAAGGGATGAGCCAGTCCTCCACCACACCAACGTTTGGAAGCATAAAGGGGAGAAGTGATGAGACATTTATCTAACTTTTTTTTTGTTGTAATTTTATTACAGAAGCCTCACCAGAGAGGAGGCTGCAAGCTGCCCTTGCAGGGCCAGCTTAAGTAATTTACTTATCGCATTCAATGTGCGGTACAGCTGCTAACTCACAGCAGTTAGTGTAGCAAAAGAAATGTAAGGAAATCTTGTACATTGGCTTACGCTACCCTGCGTCCTGCCAGAGCCCCAAGACAGATCCTGGCTATCACCGATGGTTCCTCCTGCTTGCTGAAGGTAAGAGGTGTTGCCATCAGGGGAAGGTGGGCGATGAAAGGTAACATGCCTTCTACCATAAAGGAGTGGAGAAAGCTTATGTTCCCCTACAGAGTGGGAAGAGAGGAATCTGGTGCCATCTCCCTGTGCAAGGGGACAGTAGAGCTCTGAAGCTGCATGACCAGAGAGACTGGTGCTGTGTGCTCCGAATCCAGTCTGCAGAATTCATCATTTTCTTCTCAGCAAGAGAGAAAGCGTGTGCCTGGTGGTGTGGCTCATCTGCTCTTTAGAGCGCTGGTGCCATGCAACTGTGTTACGTGGACCCGGAATCTCCCTTGTGGAAATGCAGCCACAAACCCCTTCAGGAATGGAAATGCAGGAACTTGGCAGTTCCAAAAAGACTTTGAGGATGGGGATGGTATGGAAAAAGGAATGGCAAATAGGGAGGGAGGACAAGGAAGTAAGGATGGGCCTGAAGTATGGTGTGGAGGCTGAAGTCTCCTGTTGTGAATGACATTGATGCTGTGTTGGGGTGCTGCTGTGAGAGGTGGAGCAGAGAATTAAAGAACGGACCTGAAGGGAGCTGCTATTGCAGAGGTGCAGCTGGGTCATGGAGTGTAATAAGGTGATTCTGGTAGAATTTGCTCTGGCCAAGGTTAAAGGTGGGCTCGGGAACCAGCTGCTGAAGTCTCTCTCTCAAGCGGAGGGAGGGGGGCTGCACCGAGGTGGCTATTTTCATCCTTGTTAAATAGTGATGATGGGAATAAAAGTGGTTGCATTGCTACCAAATCTCTGACAGCTGACACTGAATCCTGATACTGTGATACTGCCTTTGATACAGGCAGAGGTGAGAAAACCACTCTAGTTAAAATTAGAGTTGACCTGAATGTTTAAGCCTCCACTCTGCCTCAGCTGAACAAAACAGTAACTTTGTTTGGCCAACAAACTGCCCCTGTGTATCCTTAAAAGCCCCCCAAATAGTTTTTGAATGCAATTGGCAGTGGTAAAGGAGCCTGTAAAGCCTCTCTCTGTGCCAATAGCTGTGTCCCGGATAAATGAAGGCTGTGCTGCTTTCACAGCCGTTGAGCATGTTTCATCTCTGCTGCATTAGAGAGCAGAAAGTAAATGCTCTGTCCCCTTTGGAGGCTGTGGTGAAGGCTGTGGGATGCGCAGGTCTGTCGCAACCCGCTGCTGGGTCCTGGGAAGGACGTACGTGCCCAGCGGCTCTGCAGTTCTGCCCAGGCTCTTGGGCACAGCCTGAAATGTCATGTCCCTTGTGATTCAACTGCTGCTGCTCTGGCTTCCTCTACAGGTGCAGGCACGTCTATACGCACACGTCTATACAGGGAGACACTGCCTCTACAGAATAGTCCCCTGAGTACGCTTTTAGTGTGTATAATATATCAGGCTATAAGACTGCTCAGTGCTGACACATTTCCGTCAGTGCAAATATTCAAATAGTAGTACATGTTATTTCAAGAAGGGAAATTGGCTATACTAATAAGATGACTTTCATATGGATATATCTGTACCAGTACTAGGATCTCTACTGCTTTCACTGCCATATTATTCTAGCTTTTTTTTTTTTATTTTCCGTATCGCCCCGTGCATGCAAAACGTGCCCCTGTTTCCCCAGGGAACAGCCACCCTTCAGCCACACCAGCCCCGTGGCTCTGGGAGATGCCTTTGCAGGCTGGATCTCTACAGCTGTGGGACCTTCCTGTGCAGTCTGGCAGCCGCTGGCAGGTACTGATGTTTCATTCTCCACTGGTCCTGCAACTAATACTCCATTTGAAGGTAATGGTAACAGCGTGACCCTCTTCTGGTCCTGCCCAGGGCGGACAGTAGGAAGTTGTGGGGTTTTTTTTTTTGCAAACTTACAGATTGCTCTTGTCCCACTAAGTGTTGGCCTAAAATCTTCCTTAATGCAATTCCAATAAGGAATAAATCTGTCTTACCATATCCTGTCCTTACTGGCCCTCTCTTCCTCTTTTCCCAAGGCTTCTTTGTTTCATGTGCTGCTGTTATTGAATATTCAGCATTATGATGGCGTCATTTATTTACATGTTTGGGAGATAACGTACCTGAGAGATCCTGTATAGAATAAAGTTTTCTAACTAGATGTATTCTGTGCTCACAATAGGCCTGAGCAAAGAAAACTTGACCTAAACCCCAAAGCTTTGCACATTTGCAATCTGAGTTGTTTCTGGATCGTAGCTGTCTTCAACCACAATTTGATATGTAAGAAGAGGAAACGTGTTTCACTGGGAAAAGATGTACTGCTTTTGAAAAGGCATATATAGTGTATTTACCCGGGACAGCAGTCAAGTAGTGTTGTTTGTAACTTGTTTGCAGAAGGATGAGTTGACCATAAGGCCAACAACACGTGAGAAGGGTTTCTCAAATCTATTTATATTTCCGTCTGGGTGCCGTTCAGCCCAGAGCTATGTGATAATTTATTGCTGTGGGCCAGCGCTTGCCAGCTTAATGAATTCCTGCGTAGCTGGAACAAGTGCTTCTGGGTTCAGCTCTGACACTTGGTGGACTGCATGATCATTGACAATGCTGCCTTTTAAGAAATTATTTAATAGTTTCATTTCATGATAATTTGAGTCTTTTAAACGTGCATTCTAATTTGTAGCTGCCATTATTCCTCTGCCTTAGGGAAAAACATTTCACAGCCCAGTGCAAACTATAACATTTTGACAGCAAAGTGTGCATGGTTGCCAGTTTCTGATGTTACAGAAGAAAATGCATGTGTGATGTGTTAATTAGGCTTTCTGAAGGAAAAAAATCTATTTCATGTGGCCACATGTGTTTGCTTAGCTGTGGATCTAATCCTGGCCTAGTAAAGCCCAGGCAGGGTAGTACGTTGCAGGGAAGACCAGTCCATGAGCTTATAGGGCTGCTGTTACCAGTACAGTGAATGTGTCCTTTTGGGTTTTCTTTGAAGACAAAATTAGAGACATAAACTGCCTGGTTTACTCCCCTCCCCACCCCAATATTCTTTCTAATTTTTTAAATATGTCACAGTAAAGGCAGCGAAACTTTACACCTACCTGCACACTCGCTGTTGGAAGGGTGGCATTTTTTTTTCCTCTTGTTAAAGTCTTTGCTCTTTCACACCAGAAACATTTCTTAGTCTTCAAACATGGTAGTAAACCAACATGGATGATGCCTGGCCTTCTTGATGAAGCTTTGGAGTACTGGTAAGCGCTTGGCTTACAAAGCTAAATGAAGAGTGAGCTTGGGTCTTGGCTCAGTTTTATGCAAATTTAGGAGGAAAAGAAAATTTGAGATAGAAAACTT